TCAGAAAGACACAACTGAAAAATTGTTAAAATTATACAATGCATTACAAACCAAGTAAGAGTGGGAGCATAGTCTGCACTGTCAAACACAGTAGAAAAATGTTTGCATATTGGCAAGTCCAACAGATCATTTATTTATCCCTGTTTTATCTTCTAAATGGGGATTGTAATTCTGATTTGGTAGATGCTCCCAAAACAAAACTTACAGTGATATACTGCCTTCTGCACCTCTGTGTGTGTGTATGTGTGTTTTTATACATAAGCTTGGGAACAGCTTAGGTTCTGAGTGCAGAAATACTTTTAAATTGAAATGCAGATCAGCTTTTCCTCCTCACCCACTTTTTACATAATTTGCACCACAAGCATCATCTAAAAAAAGCTAGGTTCCTTCTGATCAGCTGAACAGTATTCAAGAGCATTAAGAAGGCTGAAATTGCCTCTGCTTAAAATGAATATGTTTTAGTTTCTCTTAGTCCTTATCTGCTGTAAGGAGAGAGACTTTCCAAGATTCAAAACCATAATTTCTGCTCAGGGAGGCTGATAATTCTGTTTGCTGGTGTTGTTTCCATCACTTTGTTTTGGGTAATCTGAACAGCCATCCTTGATAAAGGATGGTACCTTGCCATTCTTTACCTGGCAAAATTTTACTGCTCTGTTTCAATCCCAAGGTGTCCTTCAGTTTCTCTGCCTCCCAACAAAATATATACCAGTATCTTTTGGGGCCTATTCATTTTTAATTATGCTTTGGCTGTTTAGGCCTCATGTGGCTAAGTTATTATAATTCTATATCCAGTCACATGTGCCTGATACAGCTGAAAGCTTTGCTGCTCTGCTGTAACTTCTGTCAAAAATGTACTTTGTATATCTCACCAAATTTCAAGAGATGTCCAAACAGAACAAATGGCAGGCCTTGAGCTAGCAAAGCACTGAAAATGTGATCAGACCCACTTTTGTTACTGAATATCGTATTTGAAATATTTAAGATGGACCCTTTCCAGCTCTGGAGGTTTCAATGGACTTGATGGTCCCTACCCTCATTCCAGAAGTTAGAATGCATGTAGAATGATGGGGCCAGTGTTAAAAAGCCAGATCCCTCCTTGAATCCTCTGTTTCTTCCTTGTACCCACAGTTGTGCTCTTGTATTTTGTTAGTTTTGGCTTAAAAATGGTTTATAGATGGATGAAAGTGGTCTATCACTGATTGTGACTATTCCAGAATTGCTTAATAGATTATTGTCATCCTGACATCCATCGATTGCCAGGACTGCTTAGCAAGTGATCAGTAAGAACTGTGATTATTGCATGTTTTAACAGAAGGATTCTTGGGTTTAAGTACAAGAGTACTTTGTGCTTCTTGATACTGCTTGGTTAAACATACTTGTGGAAAGATGAGAGCACCAGGAGCTCTGTATTCGTTTAGGTGCTATATAGATGTGATATGTGTATATAGAAGGAGATTATGCTTACAGAAAACTTAAAAATATATGTTAATGTTTGTTTTATTACTTGAACATTTTTGATTGTTTGGGTTTTTTCTCTAAGTTTTTTTGGTTGAGAATATTTGGGGGGTTTGCCTAAACTGTTGTCTGTCTTGTTTTGATCCTGAACTGAATGGAAGATACTGCTCAGTCTTAGAAATACTTTCTCCATGCTTAGATAACTGTCTTCACTTATGCCCTCTAGTATTCATGTTTAATTCATTTATGTTGTAGAATATGGGTCATGTTCTTTTCTTTTTGCTCTGGGTTAGGCTGACAGCATCTCCTCAAGTGAGGCAACTACATAGCTCAAAGGAATTTCATTGAATACAGAATGTAAAAATTGTTATAGTTACTTAAAAAACTTGTATACTGTCCTGATTTTTTATTTCTGCTACTGGAAGATAAAATTCTTTAAACAGTAGATGATCTAATCATTGTTAATAACAGAGTAGTAATGGAAAAGAATAAAAATTACCACCTACCAGCCTTATACATTTAGTTTTTTAATATTATGTAGCTTAAAGGCAATTCTAATTTTATGAAAAAACATGCTTTACTAGTATGCTAAATATATTACACTTGTTCTTCTGAGATAAGCTGATTTATCTCTGTAAAAATAAGAAATATTCATAGGATTTTCCTGTCTGAGATTCTTACTTTTGGGAAAACAAGATATAATTTCTTGAATCAAATAGTAGTCTGAATGTGAAGCAGTAGACATTTTTGTGAAGAACTTCTGCCACTGGTTAAATTATTTGCTTTATGGAAAGCATGTAATATGAACTAGAGCATTTAAAAAGAGCATTTAATGAACTAGAGCATTTAATGGTAGCAGAATTCATACCTTCACCTGTGTGGTAACTGGATTCTTTTCTCATGTAAGTATTAGTCTTTATAATGGAAACAAGAATATTAAAAAAGTGATCTGAGCCTTATGTTTTATTTCATCAATGTGATAAGGAGAAACTTGCATGCTTTAGCATCCTTCATATTAATATCAAATGTTAAGAACCACTGCTGTCACAGGCTGTCTGTAATGGTGCTCAAGTGTCAGTGACTGCAGGTATCACCAGAGATATTAGGTGCAAGATTAGGGCTTTAAATGGAAAGTAATTGTGGATTTGGTTTCTTCTGATTTATTTTTACTTTCTGAATGTAGAAAAAATTACTTTCAAAAGCAAATTGACTGGACTCATGAAAGGCTGGTTTTTCAAGTGCACATGGATGATCTCTCAATGAAACACCGTGGTTTTCCTGGATCTCCTGGACAGGAAATTCTGTTGTGGTTTAACCCCAGCCAGCAACTAAGTACCCACACAGCTGCTCACTCACTGGCTGTCCACCCCCACCCATGGTGAGATGGGGAGAAGAAACAGAAAAAAAAATAAAAGCTGTGGGTTGAGATAGGAACAGTTCAATAACAGAAATAAAGTCGTTGTTGTTGATGATGATAATAATAAATAATAATAATACAAAAGGAGAATAATAAAACCCACTGACAAATGGGTTGTCAGCCTGTTCCCAAGCAGCTATTGGTGCCTCCCAGCCAACTCCCCCTGCTTCAGATACAGGGCACAACATTCTACAGTCTGCAGTATCTCTTTGGCCAGTTCAGGTCAGCTGTCCTGGCTGTGCTCCCTCCCAGCTTCTTGTGCACCTGCTCGCTGGTAAAGCATAGGAAACTGAAAAGTCCTTGACTTAGAGTGAACACCGCTCAGCAACAACTACAACATCAGTGTGTTACCAAAATTGTTCTCATCCTAAATCCAAAACACAGCACTGTACCAGCTACAGGGAAGAAAATGGAGCTCTATTCCAGGACAGCGTGCAGACTTTCTACTCTGTAATCCCACAATTTCTATGTACACCTGCATTCCTTCATTATTAGCCAAGTTATAGAAGATCTGCGGGATCATGTTTTGCTTATGTGTATGTATGGGTGTTATCTGCCCATTACAACATTAACTTTAAAAGTTGTTGGCAAGTTTCTGGTAAACTAATCAGATGTAGAAATCTTGAAGTATTAAACATCTACATGTTGGCAGAAATACACATCCAGATAGAAGAGAGAGAAATTATGTTAATTCCCACAATGAAGCAAAAATTGCAGTATGACCTTGAGTTTTAAGAGCCACAGGGCATCAGAGAATTTTGCCATTATGAATGGCTGACCATGGGTCAGGCTTCAATACAAGTTTATTGGACACTAGAGAGCTACTTTTCAGCCATGTGTCATGTACATTCCCTGTTGTTTAACAGAACAGCTTGTGCTGACAGCTAATTGCAGCAAAATCTGGGATATTCACATAGACTTACCCTGCAAAGATGCTTTGATAGTCAATAGCATGATCACCCCAATAATGTTTGATTCCTTTAAATTAAAGGAACCACAGGACAAAATAAGTAGAAAGCTGGGTGGTTTTGGTTCTGGTGAGTGGAAGAATACTTAAACAAAATGTATGTCTTTTCATTTGTTTTTACTGACTGACATAGTTTGGCAGAAGAGACTCAGTTTGCCAAAGCTGTACAGGCTGTGCTCATTTACTGTCCTTTCTCACGGTGTATGCCAAACTTTCACTCTTAGGGGTTTTATCATTTATTTACTTTCAAGTTAATAATGACTGTGTTGAGTAATGTTAGGACTAATACTAATCCTTGTAGGACTGCCTTTGATTCTTTTTTATCTTTAATCACTAACTGATTGCATGTTGTTAGCTTTTTATTACCTTAGAAAATCCTAGGTTTAACACATCCACCAGGTGACCTTCATCACCCACGCTTGCAGTACACACCGTGTAGAGAAAGGAGGACTAGTAACTTGGAGTGAAGGTGCTCGGCTCTATTCCTTCTGAAGTCGGCGGCAAATCCCCACCACACCCAGAGCCATGATCCCCGTTTGTTTCTTAGCATCTCAGGCTAGGGCTGCTGTGCCAGCTCCTCCAGCTGCTTGAGCAGCTTTCTTCCTTCCTTCCTTAATCTTGTAACTTCATTTTTCCTTATGGGGGGAAAGAAAGAGACCCCATATATTAACCATAAATACTAATATATATAGACATAATATGTCCTTAACTATATTTTCTCCCGTTTCTCGGCACTCGGCTGTGGGGCGGAGGGGAGCAGTGGTGGCAGGGGCACTCAGCCCCGCCGGCCGGTGCCGTATTTAAGGCAGCCAGGCGGCTGCCTGTATTTTCTAGCGCCCATCCCTCCCGTAACGTCAGGACGGGAAATCTGTCTTTAAGCAAATTGGATGTCGGGGAGACAGGTGCAGGATGCCAGTGATCCCCTGGCATCCCCCGCGGGCTGGGCTGGGGCTGGGATTTGGGCTGGGGCTTAGATTTTGACTGGGGCTGGAGCTGGCGCTGGTGCTGGAATTTGGGCTGGGGCTTGGATTTGGGCTGGGGCTGGGGCTGGGGCTGGGCGGGGGCTGGCGGTGCCGTGCCGGGGGCGGGGCGGGGCGGGGCCGCCGCTCGGTCCCCGTCTCCCGCTCCCTTCCAGGGCGGAATAAGCAGTTTCTGCACGGACCGCCGCCCGACTTGCAGGCTTTGCTTAAGGTGCAAGCAGAGAGGACGAGGGAGAGGCTGAGGCGGCCGGTGCCATGGGCCAGCTCTGCTGCTTTCCCTTCTCCAGAGGGGAGGAGAAGATCAGTAAGTGCGCGGCGCTGGCTGCCGCCGCCGCGGGGAGGGAGCTGCGGGAGCATTCCTGCGGGGTTTTGCCTTCTGGAAAATTAACTGATTGCTTTTTAGAGAAGGGGTTGAGAAAAATGAAGCAGTATTTTCACCAAGTAGATGAAGATTTCTTTCTAACGGTGATAAGTGATCAGGTCTAATTTTGTCTATGAGCATTCTGTCAGTCCATTTCTGCAAGCAAATGTAGCCGAAGTGAGTGTTTTGATTTTCCTTTTTGGCAAGTGCAGTTTAGAGTGAGGGATGAGAAGGTTTTGATGTTGTAAGCATGTGCATGTTGATGGTAAAGCTCATTAGTGAAAGAATGGAGATTTTGTTGATATCAATGTTGACAGATGACAAAGGATTTCCATTTGGGTGTTGGTTGGATGTGTAGTTTTAAGATGACCAAGTGAAGGAACAGTCACACTTTATGTATGGATCTGGTAGTGTCTGGTTTTGCTTTCAGTTGGGTAAATGTAAGTTGAATCAGAGGGAGCAGTTCTGATCTCTTTATCCTTTGGTGTACTGAGTCAAGCTAGTTAATTTGACTGGAATGTTGTTTCTGTTAAATTCTGTGCTGAAAATGATGTTTGTCCTAAATTTGGTTACACAATAAAATATTTACTCTCGACTTCTTGCTCAGTGAAATACTTTCAACCTTTCTCCTAGAAGATGCAGCCAAATTTCTGTCACATTATGTCTGAAATCAGTTTTAAGTAAATTCACATAATTCATTAGCTGTAGGCTAGAAAATCCAGTTTTCTAATCTGGTTTATATTCCATTCTTGTTTCTCAGGAAGCTGTCTAGGCATAAATAAAGTGGGAGTTTGTACCATCAATTAAACAATAAATGTGTCTACCATTAGTGCAAGAATCTAGAAAACAGCCTCAAGAAGATGAGTTGGCAGTTATTTTAAAATGTTTTTGCTTCCCAGGTCATGGTATGAAGGTAAATGTTACAAATTTTGCACTGGGGAAATGACTAGGAACATTTTATATTTTGAAACTATTTTTTCATCTAGCCAGTACAGAATGTCTTTATATGAAGAGCAGTAAGTAGCAGATCTCACTTCTAATATAGATTTGGTGAGGACAGACAACAAATACAAATCGAGTTTTTTTAATTGTTCTGTTGACAGAAAACAAGAGAAAAACACTATATTCTGCATCCTGCTTCTCTCAGTCCCTTCACTTCACTGCTTTTTAACTTTTCTTTTGACATCACCTGTCATGCACCAGCTTTCTTTCTGTGTGCTCTTGTGAGTGACGAGAACATACACTCAATATAATGTTTAGCACAGCATGACCTCAAACTACGTGTAATCAAAAAAATCATTCAGGAGATGTTATTATGTATGTGCAAAGTCACGAAGGCTTTTGAAAGATGTCTGCTTTTGGCATGTAGCAACTGAAAGGTGTGGCATAGCCCCTTGAGAATGTGGAAAGGAAGAAATAGATAGTTATAGGATGAGGGGAATCTGAAGCATGGAGATCTGGCTATGGGTGAGGTAAGAAGCTGGTGTCTGAAATGAGGAGAAAAAAGTAGATGTGGCACTGTTTTACCAGTGTTCATGGGGGACTAACATTACTGAGAGATCTTAAAAAGGGAAAGAGAGAGGAAGTATAGGATGAGCATGGTGAATGTGACTGGTTTTTCCCTTCATTCAGTACTGACTGAAGAAAACAGAGAGAAGGGAAATTGCTTTTCTTTCATCTGGCCTCCCTCCCTCTCTTCTGCCACATCTGTTTCTCCCTCTGTGTGCTGGGAGGAAGCACTGCTGGGCATCTAGCATGGCCCCAGCCAGAGAGGTGGTTTGAAGCTGGCCACGAGGAACAGGCAGAAGGGAATGTGTCTCACATCCGTTTTTCCTCTTCTTATAATATTATCATGGTGACCTCTAAACTAATTGTGTTTAGAAATTAACCTAGGCTTTTTATTACTAAATTATCCTGGTTAGGAAACATGCAGGTGCAAATCACAATCATGTGGCTGTGGTACATGAGAAACAAAAAGTACTTTATAAAGGTGCAAGCATGTGCCGTAAACAGCAGCTCAACTGTGCTACTTGACTCATTTAATTTGCAGTGAAAATGAAAATGTATGAACTTCATTATGGTTTTCCTATAAGTTTTGTTTTAGCTGAGGTGCCTCAAGTGAACTCAGACAGTTATTGAATTGCTGAAGGTTTGTTCCTTATGCAGTAAGGAAATTTTTTCATTTCATGTAAAGCATAATTTCAACAAGTGTTGTAATTGTATTGTCTGGTACTGTTGCATTGTACATCTTTGCGTTGAGTGAGGTGAAAGCTCAGTGCTTTCATGGTGTGCTTTTTAAAATTTGAGCTTAGATCTATTTCACAGCAAGTGTGAATTGAATTTAGCTTCAACTCAATCTACATTGTTAAAAAAAATTAACCTGTTTTACCTTAGAAATTAATAGGTGCTTATGACTGAAACACACCAAAGTGCTGACAAGTGGAAGCTGAGTTGTATTATTAAGTTTTAGCAGCCACTTGCTTACATCTTGTATCCGCACATAGTTAGGTATTTCACATCTCTTTCTATTCTATTCAAATTTAGGTATAGCCATGTAAAACATTTTTTGGTTATGGTAAAAACCATAACCAAACAAGTTTTATGGTTATGGTAAGATCATAAGAGTGGTTGTCTGGACCAGATTTAGGATCTGTCTTCCTAACACATGCCTAACATATGTTAAAGCCATTAAAAAAGGGCAGGTGTGTAAGAAGGTGTTCCTCAAAACTAAGTTCTAATACTGCTGCACTTCAAGATTTATGGACTTTGTGAAGTAGGGTGACATCCTTGATAATCATGAGTCTTTAATTATTTTTTTCCAGTCTCCTTTTGAATCCATAGAAAATTGTAATATCTGTACTATCTTCTGGCAAGAGGCTTTATGGCTTAAATACGTTTTTTGTAAAGAATCTTACTAGCCATGCCTACCAATACAATTTCATTTACTGAATATTATCTTAGGAAAAAGTTTTTCTGCTACACTTGGTAGAAAATTCCCAGATCTGAGTAGATCTAAGGTATTCTGCAATGAAGGAAAGGAAAAAAAGTATAGTATCTCTTCTCACCACTGATTGTGGGATAGGCACAAGTAAAGCGTGAGTAGAAACTGTTAAAACTTAGACATGTAGGACCTTCACAACCTGTTCTTTCTGTTGTGTTTGTGAATGGTCATATAACCACTGTAAGGCTGAGAAAGCTTTCTACAAGGATAGATACACTCAATTTATCACGTTGAGTTCCAGTGAAGTTGGTTGGAGTTTCAAAACTTGGCTCGCTGTGTTCAAGGAGGAGCTTTTCAAATAAAGATTAGTGTTTGGTCTAACAGTTAATTCTTTATATTTCTGAGATCATGAAGGAATTGCCTGCATGATAAGCCTGTAGTTAGACCTTGTATTGATTTGCTTGTATCAATGCTCAATAAGTGCTTTTTCATTTTGGAAATGGTCTCAAATGATTTTTAACTGCTTTTTGCAATCATCTAATTGTAAGTTCATTTCTGGTCTAAAGTTGTTTGTTTTAACTTCACAGCATGACACTTTTTAATCTGACATAAAAGAAAGCACTTTACAAAATAAACTTTGTTATATGTCATTATAGCTATATACGTGGAAGCCCATTTGCTACTTGATGGGAAACCAAGGAACAGGTTGTACTGGCCAGAAATTGTTTAAAAAGGCTGTTAAATATTGAATGCCTACAAAATTCCCATATTATACAATTACTGATGTGAAATAAGGCTGGTCATAAAATCAAAATAGAATATGAGACTTATTTGCGTTCTAAAAAATGTGATTCTCAACTTAAAAGGGCAGAGGATAACAGTGTGAGCAGTTTTGCATGTTTTAATTTAATGAGATTTAACAATTTGTTGTTTGATGCTATTATAAACAGAATGAGAGCAGCCCTGCTGAGAAGGGTATGCTTGGGTATGCTGGTGGGTGAGAGGCTGGACATGACCCAGCAATGTGCACTCAGCCCAGAAATCCAGTTGTATCCTGGGCTGCATCCAAAGCAGTGTGGGCAGCAGGGTGAGGGAGGGGATTCTGTCCCTCTGCTCTGGTGAGAGCCCACCTGCAGTGCTGCATCAGCTCTGGGATCCCAGTACAGGAAGGACATGGACCTGCTGGAATGAGTCCAGAGGAGGCCACCAAAATGATGAGAGGGATGGAACCTGTCCTGTGAGGAAAGGCTGAGAGAATGGGGGTTCAGCCTGGAGAAGAGATATCTTTGGTGTGAACTTACTGCAGCCTTCTGGTACCAGAAGGGCCCTGCAAGAAAGATAGAGAGAAATCTTTTACAAGGACATGTAGTGCCAGAACTAGAGGGAATGGCTTCATCTGAAAGAACATAGGTTTAGATCAGATATTAAGAAGAAATTCTTTATTGTGGCAGGGGTGGGGCATTGGTACACATTGCCCAGAGTAACTAGGGATGCTCATTCCCTGGAAATGTTCAAGGCCAGTTTGGATGGGGCTTTGAACAACCTAGTCTAATGAAAGGTGTCCCTGTCCATGGCAGGAACTAGATGATTTTTAGGGCCTCTTCCAACCCAAACCATTCTATGATTTTATTATTATATGTTAATATTCATAGTGCATATTGAACATAGAGTGGGTAAATAGTTGTGGAAATGAGTAAATAAGCACAGGGCCTGGGGCTCTGTAGCCTGTACAGAGGAACCAAGCAAGCTGGCAAGTTCCAACATACAGCCAGGCCAGTAATATGCAGTCCAGATCTTTAAGGCCTGACCAAAAATTACTCAGCTGTATCAAATTAGAAATTGGTTTTTCAGAATAAAGCAAAGTTCAATGAACAGAATGCAACTACTTTATTGAAGTCTTAAATTGATTTTGAAAATACTGAAAGTTGCATTTGCAAATCGATGACTTGGTCAAATTTGCAGTTTGGTGTAAGTTATGATTTGTTTTGCATTTACATAGCTG